GTTGGAACACCACATACAAGTGTATATATAAGCACGTATATATACGTACATAAATACACACATACATACAAAGATGACTAAAGAAGTTACGAATCTGCAAGTAGGAAATCTTTTTAAAGATGAAATCTGTAGGAGTCCTTAGCTTCAAGATTGCGACCGGTAGTTGAACCCCTTTTCCTGAGGTCTTAGACAACTGAAAAGCTCATAAAAATAGCTTTTTTTGTGCCAGCATGGTGAGATGTCTACAGTGACAGCCGGGAGAACATTACACCATTTGACCGCCTCCCTTGTCAGGTACATTAATAGGCAATTTTCTAGGGGTGTAAACAATTGGTCGTTCTCATAAGAAGCTGGCACCAAAGATTTGTTGCTGAAGATTCCTGTAAATTGTCAGTAGAACAAAAATCTTTATACGGTTGTTGTTCTTGTTCACCTACATCCTGCATAACGGTGTGGCTTACTGTGAAACTCTGATGGTAAAGCGATCACAATTTCTCAGTAATTGATGCTTTCAGTTGTTGTTTTCCCACTGCATTCCCTCTTATTTCCTTATAGGATTTGTTTTCAAAACATATACACTGTTGTTTTAGTAGCTTATACTTAGTTAAATGACAAGAAAAAGCTAAATTGTGACCATGATAAGCTGACAAGCGAAAATGGTTCATTTCCACATGCAACCTCAGGTTGCAACATTTAAAATTTTGGTGATGATCGTTTGCCACTGATAAAATTAATAAAAAAATATTTTTAATATAATTATATATTACCTTCCTTTTTAGAAACATTCGCAACACTTCGAGACAAATATAAATAATTTGACGGCTTATCTATACGACAGTTCTATAAGACGGATCAGAAACTAACATTTAATCAATTAGTAAATAATTTTGAAATTGCTTATACGTCAGATGAATGCCCTAATAGAAAGAGTAGACCTCAATCACCTCTTTTGTAAGGCAAAACTCGATTTGTGTTCTTCTAACCTACGATACATATGACTTCACAACGAATTTTGCGTCCTGTTTCTACCGTAATCAATCTTAATATATATTCAGTGACCACCAAGAAATTATGACCGAAATTTTTCATAATCGAAAAAAGAAATTATTCCGTCATTTACTGATGTTGAAACAGTGAATGAATGAAAAACCACTCTATCACGAAGCATCGAATCTGGAAATGTGAAAAAAAAAACGCAAGACTGCTCCCTTCATACCGCACCACTGCCTCACAAAATCGCGCGATAAATCTGGGCCTAATCCAATTTTAAAAGTAATAGATAAATTTTGAAGTTAGTGGGAAACGAAAAATATTGCTTGTTTGCTTTCGTAAACGAAGATTACGCATAGATACACTAGATTAAACTTCGTATTAATACGGTAAGCTCATCATTTGTCATTTAAGCAAGCCATCATGCACTTTTGAGTCAGTAAAATGAGTGAGAGAAAACTCGTCTATACTGTCGCGCCCGCTGTGCCACATGTCTCCGGTCTCCTTTGCGTCAGTATTAAGCTCGCCAAACACAGAAGTCAGTAATCACAAGCACCACTCAAGTAGGCCGCGCTAGGTTTGAGTTCAGAAAGGCCTGCTGCACTTTGGGTAATTTAGGACGAGTGGATGTTAGAAGGTGCATAGGGCATTGGCAAAAGAGCACTTAATTGCCTGGTAAGCTGACAGTGATAACCAGCTGATGAACATTTCATTTCTTTTCCAGATTTGGTATTTTTTGCAAATATCGCTTATTTCGCCAAAGATTTCATCAAAAGTCTCAAATCCAGCAAACAAATGTAACACAAATTACCATTTTGTAAACAGCGTGCAAAGTGAAAAAATCGAGGAACTAATAATAACGTTGTTTATTCTCTGGAAGTCTGTCATACTTGCGGTGAGCATGTAAGTTAATCTGTACACTAATTCATAGCTTAACGCAAGAAGTGCAAAGCCCATACCTAGAAAGTCGATATTGGATAATCTGCGTTGAGCCCTGTGCCAAAGCATGTGCTAGCAATTTCAGATAAGATCAAAATTAAATAGAAGCATGCAGAAAATTCTTCACAGGATGTTTGCGAGGGCAGATATATTTGAATCATATTTGTGAATTGTACGGATCCATACACAGCCACGAATGTATTAACACATAGCTAAATAGGCCTTTACTTTAACATTTTTCAAGCCATCACTAGGAGATCCTTTTTCTGAGAGCAAATTGCGTTTTCTAATATTCATTTCGACAACCGTTTTCGAACGCATTGTTCAAACAAAAACCGACAGTACAACTCTCTGGCTATGATATACTCTACACTATATAACTAAAGACAGCCGACACATTAAAAGTAAGCGTCTCAAATAAGCCACAGACCTATCGATCCACTTCACCAAATACAATATCCAGAGTTCCAATAACAGCAACAACGTCAGCAATCAATGACATGTAGCAGATATCGTGCATAGCAGCTAGATGTGCGAATCCGGGAGCGCGGATGTAGCATCTTTAAATTATAGGCACCTGAGCATCGCAACTTTTAGTATAAGTGTAACCCTACCTGTAAGGCTTGCTAGTGCCGTCAGCAACAAGATACACGCCAAATTCCCCTTTTGGTGCTTCGATTGGAACATACGTCGCTCCAGGTGGAACTTGGAAGCCTTCGGTGTAAAATTTGAAATGATGAATCAACGACTCCATGGAGTCCTGTAAGAGAAACATGGAGTCACGATGAAAACAGGCAGAAAAACTTCACCTTCATTTCAGCTCGCTTTGGAGGGACAATTTTGTGATCGTCAACCCTGACCT